CAGTCATGATCTGGCCACGGCTCACATAGGACCTGCGTCATTGCCACACGGGAGGGACTGCACTAGGAGGTGGGGGCAACGGGGCCGGCCGCCAGGCTCCCTGTGCCTCAGTCTCCTTGTCTGTAACATGCAGCAGTCATGACACCCTTGTGTGGGGCCGACAGGGTTCTGAGATACTCGGTCAAGATCCCAGCACCCACTTATCACTCTTACTGACACCTGGTTAACATCCCGGACTGCATCCCACCTCCTTTCAGTCCCGCGGTGAGCAGTGACTCCGGCGGCCTTTGGAGTTTGGGGCGCATGGAGTCGGGTCTTGAATGACAGCAGAGAGGCTCCTGGAATGTGACGCTCACTGGGCTGAGGTCGCGCTCACATTTTTCTAGGTGCGCATAGTGGAAACAGAACCAAAATATTATTACAAGGCTAAGTTCTGTTTTACAGTCGTCATTAATACATGACAGTCTTGTTTTAGTTTCATCTAAACACTTTCCCTGCGCTCCGGGCAGCTGCTGGTCTCTCCGCTCAAGGCCCTTGAGCTGGACACAGGCAAAGGATGGTGGTGCTCAGGCCACTTGCTCAGCTAGGAGAGAAGCCACAAGCAGACACGGGGTTCCCCAGCCAGTGTTGCCCCCAAAATGCCGGAGAGAAACCCCTGCTTTCTCCTGAGGGGGAGAGGGAGTGGTGCTTACTGAGCAAGTTCCGTTCTTGGTGTTGGGAGGGAGGAGAGAAGGGGCCTTGTTTCCTTCGGTGTGGGGGTCCCTGTGATTTTTGGAGCTGCTGGGTAGCCTACAGACTCTTGAGACGTCTATGGTCAGCTCTCCTGGACTGAACAGAGAAGACGGGGTCCCAGGACTCACCTTGGCATGGCTGTCGCGGGCACTCTTGGGCACCAGCCCCCCCCGGACCCCCACCCCAACTGGCCCTGGATGCGGGTGCACAGGGAACCCTCCTGCTCCACAGCCCCACTGCGGCCCTCAGACATCCATATGCTCAGACATCAGAGCCTCTGGCTCTCTGCCCATCGCTGGGAGGCCACTTGGCCATGGGAAACGACCCCTTTGGGCAGCGTAGGCCCTTGACCCCTGCAGCATCTTGGGAGCCCCGCTTCCTGCCAACCCTTCTCCTTGGTAGAAATGGTGCCCACTGCCTGCCCTCTCCCAGCATCACCGAGTGGAGCAGAGCAGAGCAGAGCGCTCCTGGCCAGCGAAGCAGTGTCAGGGGAAGGCCCACGACGTTCCTCCCAGCAACATACAGCGGCCACACAACCAACGCTGTCCGGCTAGGAATGGCGTTTGTAGAACCCGTCACTGCCCCCAGTGACGGGTATGGGGGCTGAGCGAGGCACCAAGGGGTTGCCTGACTGTAAGGGACAGACTGGACTGTGGTCCTCTGACCCCAGGGCTGGTCCCGGCAGAGCAAGGACCACTTTCCTCACAGCCCCCAGGTCAGAAAAATCAGGTCACGAGATTCCTCGACAGGCAACTCCCAGGGGCCGTTAGGTCTTGGCTTGATGGATTCTAAGTTCTACCGTTTTCCTGTTTGCCAAACCGGCCACTTCTCTCATTTTTTCCCCACATCTTCCTCCTGCTTCCTTGGGCTGCGGGCTTTATCTCATTTTTCTTCTCGGCAGCCTGGGAGTGAGCGCTTAGCTCATGTGCTATTTATGCTCTCTTGTACATAATGAAAATATCTGAGATGTAAGGTCCCTCCTGAAGGCTCACTGGCCAGCGGGTTCTGTAGTAGTGTTTCCTGAACGGGCTGTCGCAGTGTTTCCTCCGCTTGGACCACTGTCACCTGGAAGCATGTTCCTCTCCCAAGCTGTCTGCTGGCCTCAGGGAGGCTGAGGTCACGTCGGCTCCACCAGGAGGGGCAGAGCATCGTCCTTGGTGCAGCAGGGCCCAGTGTCTGCCCGTGCACAGGCTCCTGCAAGCAAGGGCTGTCTCTGAGCTGCCTCCACAGGGGACAGCAGAGGTCAGCACGCGCCAGGCCAGGGTGGGAGCCAGTGGAGGCTCCTCTTCTGCTGCTCCCCGGAAGCCTGACTTACTGTTTCTTCCAAAAAGTTCTTGTTTCTCAGCCCTCTGGCCTGACTTGCTGATGGCACCTCCCCCGACCTCAGAATAGATAGAATGACTATTCCTCCATCTCAATGGGAACCAGAGGGGATGTGTCTCTATCACCACCAGCTGGGATGTGCTGCGTAACAAACACTACCACACGGCTGATGTTGACTTCTTGCCGGCAGGGAGTTGGCTGGCAAGCCAAGCGGTCCGAGCGGTCCTCATACCAGGACCCGGGACAGGCCACCATGTGAAGTATTGCTGGTCACCATGTGAGCACGGGGCATCATGTGCTGACTCAGGAAGCTTCCCCAAAGTGTCCTATGTCATGCACATGCACTTATGTGGGCAGGTCAAGCACATGGCTGTGCCTGAGTCCAGGCGGAGCAGAGGGCGCAGGCCCCTGAGCCCAGGAATGCCAACCCCATTGGCACCACCACTCCCTAGGCCCCGCCTCCCCTGGGCTCAACGTCTCTTCTTGATAAAAGTGCTTTAAACTTAGGCTTCACTCCTATTCAGACAGAGCATCCACTTGGACACAAATGCCTTCCTAGTACCTGCTTGGGTTGGCCCCTGAAAACACACACTCACACATGTGCATGAAACACGTGTGCACACAATGGGAGCTTACACAACCACACACATGGGTACCCTTATGTGTGCGCATATACACATGTACACATACACACACCTGCACACTCGGGAGCACACCCTCATGCCCATGTGTGTATGTACATCATATATGCGTGCTCACACATACCACAGCTATGTTCCCAGGAGTGTGGGTTGGTGTCACGGAACAGCCCCCTCATCTAAACCAGGGGTCTCTGTGTGCAGGAGCAGTGAGGGAGTTGGCTGTATGGCCATGTTGGGGTACCTGATCCCCTCAGGGCAGCCATTTGCCCCATCCCACAGGAGCCACCCTTCCCAGGGTGCTGTCTTCCCTCCCTCCCACCCTCTTTCCCTCTCTCCACATTCTTCCTCATTTAATCCCAGTACATTTTTCCCCCTCATTCCTGTTTGGGACTGGGCTGCCCAGGATCCCCGAGGGGCTGGTGTAAGGATGTGAGGTTGCCTGGGCACCAGGAGTGGGGACTGGTGCTGGACATGGCAGGGTGTCCAGTACCACTCACCCAAGTCTTGTATCCAACAGTGGGTATTTCTTTTCAGCTACACAAACGGAGGATCCAGTGCCCAAGTGACTGACCAGGCCCCTCAGATGGGGCATGGGGTGGACCCCGGTTTCTCTGGCCCCAACCCATGGCCTGCCATCCTTATCCAGTGAGGAGGGCGACCCCAGGCTTCGGAAGCAAACCTAGACACCCCCTTTAGGTGCAATAAGGGCTGTTCTCAAATGGGAACTCCCCCAGAATAGGACAAAACCATAACTCCCAACTGTCCCGCACTGCTATTGGAGAGGTTTGCATTTTACTTTGTAGGCTTGACATTCTGATACCATGTAGCACTACATAATTATAGAACAAAACTGAATGTATAAGAAGCAATCCCTAAAAATCAAATGAGACGAAGAAAGCCAGCTGACCGATGGCAGGCGGAGTCAGGTGCTCCGAGGGACTTGAACTTGGAGAAGTGACCCCAACAACGGCCAAGAAATGGGACACTCACAAGACGTGGAGGCAGAAGACCGACAATAAGACACTGTCATTTGTGTTGTTTGGTTCGATACGGGGCCTGTGGTCGCACTTAGGAGCCCTGCCTCTGAGCTGCCTGGAAACACTCCAGGGGCGGAGGGAATGCCTGCGCCTCCTCGGTGGGGCTGGGGTGGGACCTGAAGGTTTGGACACACAGGACAGCCTTAAACTCCTCTCTGGCTTCTACGTGCCTAACACCTATACAACAAAGAGCTAAAAGATGCCACTCAGACTGTATTTTGAGGAGCAAAGGACTATTTTTGGAAAAGACGTCCATATGGGTAAAGGGTAGGCTTTCTGGGGAGCATGTGGATCAGGCGCTCTGGGCTCGGTCTAAAGGCTGCCGGGGGGATGCAGAGCTGACCCCACACATTGACCCTCCCCAAACTGGAGAGGGAAGTGGGGAGCAGGGCTACCTTTGTGGTAGTGTCTTCTCATCAGGCAGAAGACACAAACAGGCAGCTCGTGATCTTGGAGCCCCTGAGGCCCCTTAGGAGGCGCAGCTCCGGGCTGACCCTGGCCCCAGGGCTGGGGCCCAAAATACACTTGGATAGACCCGGGTCTCTCTGAATGAGTGAGACGGAGCTGAAGATGTGTCCTGCCAGGTGACAGGCCAGAAGACGAGGGGCATATTAGCCGTGGGGGAGGGGGGACACCTGCAGGAGGCAGAGGGAAGGCTGCGGCTGGTCCCGAGGGAGCCCAGCAGCCAGAGGGCTGATGGTACTGGGTCCTCTAATTAAACATTGTGATGTAATTAGAATTGGCTCCCCAGCCCAGGAGAGACGCTGAGGTGGGAGTGATCACCGCTGTGCTAGAAGCCCAGGCACAAAGGCAGGGAGAAGGCATTCCTCCCAGGGCACCCTGAGCTCCGTGCTGACCTAAACTGCGGGCAGAGCTCAAGTGTGCAAGTGGTGGTCAAGGGGCATCAGGAAGCTCTGAGGGCGGCATCGGGGAAAGCACTGACAGCTCCCAGAGCCCGGCCACCACTCAGCCTGTCATGGGAGTGGGGGGCCTCCTCCTCTCTGCGCCTCAGTTTCCCCTCGGAGAGAAGGTCCTAGTCAGTGCTCAGCCCGCCTGGCTCCCAGGGCCACCCCTCGGGTACAGGGGACACTAAGGGTAAGGCTCCAGGCCTGTCGTGAGGCCCCACGGAGACTCCACGGTCCAAGGCCGCTGGCACCAGGAACAACAGTTGGGCTCAGAAACACAAGTAATCACTGTTTTTGTACCAAGAATCTTACAATTAAGATGTCTCCAATCTTAAGAAAAACTTAAGAAACACAGGCCAACATCAGGAATATGCATGTAATTGTCATTTTAACCAACATTATTTGAACATCTTTAGAAGAAAACAGTTTGGCCGAGTCTTTCTTCATGCAGACGCGCTGTCTCAGGTCCAGGAGCAGGGGACCAGCTGCCCTAGGAATACATCAGAGAAAGACCCGGAAGGCCGGCGTCCTGCTATCTCCGCCAGCCAGCTGGCTCTCCCGATATCCTGGAAGCAGGCACCCTGGAAAACCCCAGTCATCGGGCGAGAGCCCATGGAAGCATGGAGGGGCTGAGCCCCCATGTCTCAGCACAATGACCTCAGCCCAGACTGCCGGCACCGGCTTTATCGCTGCACAAGGAACGTTCCAGAAGCAGCACAGCCGCCGTTTGTACAAGAATTGGCTTCAAGCAGCACAGGACCTTGAGGGGTGCACCCCACTGGCTGATGTTGCATGGGCTCCGTGCACCCCCCTGTCCAGGACAAACCTGGAGAAAGCCAGTGCGTGGAGCACACATGGGGTCTGAGACCCTCTGAGGGCCGGCACATGATGCGTCGACATGTTGGATGCCGGGAAGGTGGCCACACGCAACCCCGACGCAGCCATCAGTCCAATCATCCAGCCGTGTGAGGGTGGGCCCCACACACCAGCCACTGCTCCGAGGCAATTCCAGCAACCAGTGACCAGGGACCTCGAGCAGAGGACCCAGGGCCCACCCTCCTGAGCCACATCCTCCACTGCCCCTGAGGTCATGATCAGCTGGTCCCCGCACAGCACAAACCCCATCTCATTCCCGAAGGTCTGAGAAAGGCACCCGCCCCCTTCCACATCCTCAGATTGAAGGTTTAAGACACTGCTTCTAGAGCCCAACCTTCAAACCCGGGACTTGTAACAATAACTGTCTTGCTCACGGGACAGCCAAGGCACAGAAGGAAGCGTGGTCCCACTGCCTGAGTTCATGCGGCGTTTATTCACCCTCCAGAGGGGGCAGGAGGGCCGAGGAGGCTGCCTCCAGGATCCAGGTGATAATGGCGAGGAGTCGGCCCTCTCTGGCACCTCATGTGCATCCTTGGAGCTCACGGCACACCCCAGGCCAGGTCAGAGCAGGCCACCGCCGTCCAGCTGCATCTGCCGGGCCAGCTGCTGCCCAATGGTCTGCAAGGGGCTCGCTCTGTAGGCGGGACTGGCCAGTAGGTCCTGGAAGCGAGTCCTTTCTTCCTCACTGAAAAATTGAGGTTGGAGGTCAGCAGACTCCACGCCCCTGGGGCGGCGGGATGAATATTCAGCACCCAGGACCCACCTCGGCTGGGCCACCCCACACCCAGGCGCCGCAGGGCAGGCTGAACCCTGGATTAGACAGGAGAGGCCGAATCACCAGCAAAGAAGGGGCTAAGGGCTGAGCAGGGCTTTGGGCAGGAGAGGAGAAGCTGCCCTGGGCCTCCTCATGGTCACACAGTGACCCTGGAGCCACTGGGCCCACCCATGGGGTTGGGGTGTTAGCCTCCCTGCCCCTTCCTCAGGGAGGGGACTCTAGGCTCGCCCCCAACCTTGACAAGGAGCTGCTATTAAAAGCGAAAGGCTGCCAAATGCAGGGAGGCAGCAGCCTGCACACACCCTGCAGACACACAGCCTTACATAAGAGGCGCGCGCCCTCCCTCTAGCGCTGCCAAAATAGACGCGGCCACTGTAAGAACGAAGGGCCAGGAGTTCTGTGCGCCCACAGCCCCAGGCGGCACCGCTGCCTCACAACAGAGAAGGGAGGTGATCCTTTCCTCCTGCAGGAGCCCTGAGCCCGAGTCCACAGTGCAGGCTGCTTTCCCTACACGCCTGTCTCTGAACCCAGCCGGCCCCTGGGTGCACGCACGGTCATCCCACTTCCTGGAAACGCTGGGCAGCTCAAGCTCTGCAGGCCCTGAAGCCCAGACATGGTCCCTGCTGCCCTGGCTAGGGGTTCCCAGCCAGAAACCTCAGGTGGCAGCTCCAGGACAAGTGCACATGGGCCTGCTGTGGTGGGAATGACTTGTATGTGGTGTGTGTGTGTGGGGGGGGGGGGGGGAGCGGAGCAGCCTGTGCTCTACCCTGCATGTGTGACTGTGGGCAAGGCCACACCATGCCACCAGGCCCCAGCTTTCCTGGTTGTTAACAGGAGAACTTGAACCCCACTGGACGAGTAATTACCTGAACCAGGTGACAATATCTGGGACGCCCTCCCCACCCCGAACCCAGGACCAGGGCCCGAGGGCAGCCCCTGAGAGCCAGCAGCTGCTCCCCTCCCCACCCAGGGGAAGGGGCTTCCTGACCTCCCCCTGGAAACAGGCTACTTCACGCCAACCACACTGTGCCCCAGAGGCGGCCTTGGCTGAGGTTGGGGGCCCTGGCCAGAGCCTCACTGCGGTGGGGGCGGTACTCACAGGAGCTGGAGCCTCTGCGCCGCGCTCATCCGGCTGAGCTCCGCTGGCCGGGGCTTGCTGCTTGTCCTGTGGACAGACAACCAAGTCAGGGCCACGCCCAGTCACCTGGACTGTCTGCCAGAGCGCGTCTCTGAGGCTGCAGCCACAGGAAGGCTTTGGGACGGTGCGGGACCAGCACCCTCCCCTAAGGAAGACTCTGGGAGCGTGAGGCTTCGCGGCGAAGGACCCAGACGAGGGGTGAGGGATAAAAACTGCCCAGTCTTGGCTAACTCAGCTCCAGGTCAGAGGCCCTCATCTTTAATTGGGATTTCTTTTAAAGTAGGAATGAAAAACATTTGTGGCCCACCCAGGGCAGCACCTGCTCCGCATGCTCCTGTCACCCTGGCTCAGCCCGACGTGGTCCCACCTCTGCCTGTCCAGCACGGTGCTCTGCTCTTCCAGCCACTGACCCAGACCCTGAGTCCACCTGGGTGTGGGTCCCTTGCTGAACACCCACAGCTCTCCCAGGCCTGCATGTGCAGAACTGGGCTCAGGACTCCCTTCCCCCAGCCAGAGTCCCCAGAAGGTGGCCATGCGCTGGGAGGTCCAGAAAATAGGGTCCAGCATAGCCCTGCTGGCCGGAGGTTTAGGGCCCTGGATCTCCACCCCCCTTTACTAAGGTAGAATGGGAGGTGGGCTGAGGCCTCCCGCAGGTCCTCCCAGCCCCAACCTGTCTCGTCAGTGGGAGGCAAGAGGGAGCAGGACCCTCCCCAGCCTCAGGGCCTGGTAGGCAGCTCCCAAGACAGGCACGACTTCCTCCCCAACGGGCTTCCCAGGAGTTAAGGACACTGCAGACAAAGCCAGGCGGGTAAATCCCTCACTCGGTAGCATGGGGCGGCGCTTTCACCCATGGTGCCAGCCCCAGTCCTGCCCCGCTGTCCTGGCAGGTCTGGGCTTCGGCCCTTGGACGTTTTTCCAGTGGAGAACCCCTGGCTGGACTGACTCCCTCGAAGCTGAGCCATCGCAGCTTGGAGGTCTCCGGGTAACTAAGATGGACACTCACCCTCGGGTGTGTGGCCGCCGGGCGCCAGCTTCCAGCTCCAGCAGCTCCGGGAGGGCGTCCCGGAGGGGCTGCAGGTCCCCCACCACCACCGTGGCCCGCCGCCTCCGCTCCGCCTTGAGCTTCTGCTCAGCCAGCTTTATGGCTTCGATTTCTGAGGAAGGGAAATAAGGAGTTAGCGAGGGAGCAGAAGGCTGAGGAGCCCAGCCGTCTGAGCCCAGGTCTGGGCTGCTCCCTTCCTGCCCATGGCAGGCCCCCCGTTTCTGGCTGGCTGGCACTTCCAAGCCGCCTGGGACCTGGGGGGCGGGCTGGCTCCGAGCTATTTCTCCCCTAATCACAGAGTTGTGCTTTTAAATCACAGGGCTGATGATGAGACATGGAGGACTTTTCCTCTTGAAAAGGGACTTGGTCACAGGGCCTAGGCGCGCAGTGGCTGCGGAGAGCCACACAGTCACAGAGAGGTAGTGGGCGCATCCCATTCTTGCTCGCTCCCTGAGCGCCTCCTGGGGATGCACATGAAGGGAGAGTCCCCGTGGGAAGAGGTGACAGTTTGGGGAGAGGGGAGCCAGCTTCCTAACACTGAAATGGGTGAGGGGCCGAGCGCTGCGGGGGTCTCACAGCCCTGGGAAGGAGGCAGCAGGACAGAGGAGAAGGTGGCGGGCAGAGCAGGGTGTAGAAGAGCTACAGGGCGAGGCTGAGGTCAGTGGCATGCAGCAGCCTGTGCCCTAGAAAGAGGTTTGGGCAGGGCTTGAATGGAGCATGGCCTTGCAATTTGATTTCCACTTAAAATATATTTATTTCAAAATTGCTAATAAAATACATGCTGAAAATTGCTAATAAAAAACATGTGATTTCCAGTGTGGCTTGTGGAAAATGCTGGCTCGCTGGTGGGCATGCTGATCTTGCACAAAGGTCCTCCCTTCCCCACGGATGCCGGGGCCAGGCCCCCAACTGGCAGCCTAGATGGGCATGAGGAGGGCCAGAGGCCGCTCTGCCAACTGAACCTGTGCTAACTGATCTTTAACTGGCTCTGCACCAGGTTTCTCTCATTTATAAAAAGGCTCTGCCACTGCAATCGCTTGGAAATGAGGACAGTGATGGGCTTGGGGTGAGACCTGAGCTTGACACTCATCTCACCCTGGTTTGCTGGGCTATAAATAATGAGGTGCAGACTGAATCACATCTAACCGGGAACTAAAACCCTCTTCCTGACAAAGGACCAGGACAATTCACAGCCAGCTCCTCACAGAGCACCAGGTGCCCCTGGAGGGCGGCAGCCAGTGCCCAGTGAAGGGAGCGGCCTGCTCCCTCTGTGCATTCCTGTGACTCCATGGCCAGGGCCCTCAGAGCGCTGCGGCTGACGTCAGCCCTGCAGGGCGGATGCAGGGGGCAACAACCAGCACAGAGCAGGCACAGCACAGGGTCCTGGCTGGGAAACCCCGTGCACAAGGACAAACTCAGGACAGCCCACTGATTAGTGCAGAGAAAGTGTGCAGGCACAGGGACAGCCCACTGATTAGTGCAGAGAAAGTGTGCAGGCACAGGGACAGCCCACTGATTAGTGCAGAGAAAGTGTGCAGGCACAGGGACAGCCCACTGATTAGTGCAGAGAAAGTGTGCAGGCACAGGGACAGCCCACTGATTAGTGCAGAGAAAGTGTGCATGGCACAGGGCCCCCGGCAAGTGTGTGAAAGTGAGGACCTTAACAGGCGTTTTCAAGAGGCAACTTTCCAGAAACCGACACCACTCATCTACCAGGGAGAAGTGCCTGGCAGGCTTCCCAAAGGCCAGCTCCTCTCCCAGCCTGCAGCCGAGGCAGCACTGACCGCCCTAGAGCCCCAGGATGGCCAGAACAAGCTCTGGACGGCCCACCCTGACCAAGCCCAATCAGGGACACATCCCCCCTCCCTCCCCGAAGGGCCCTGTGTAGAGAGGGTTTTCTCCTGGCCCCAAATAGCTGAGTCCAGGGGACAGACGACCCACCCTCCTGGGTCCTTGTGCACCAAGCCCCATACCATCCCTCAGAGCCCGGAGTTATGAGGGGACAATCCAGGTGTTCCCATCCTTCCCAGTCAAGACCAAACTGTTTGCCCAGCACCTTGTCACACCAGATGCCTCTTCCCGAGAGCTCAAGCACCCTGGAGGGCGGGGAGCGGGAGGGGCGCCTTAGGGTCTCAGGGTGGTGGCCTCAGGCAGGGGAAGGAGATGGGAAGGAGACAGGAAGGGTGGCACCCTGGACCACAGGCAGGGCACCAACGCCACACCAGCACCAAGCAGAGCCCGTGGCTTTCAGGAGGATGGAAGCAAACGCTAAACCAATGAAAGCCAAAGCTTTTTAAATTAACGTGTGGTGCCCAACTGGGTTGTGTCTGAGGCAGGCAAGTCTGACTGACCTGGGGACAGCTGCCAGCAGTCCACTGCAGTGGCTGCTTCAGAGGGGAAGGCCATTAGTCTCCACAAGTGCCACTCATAACGACAATGACAACCACAGAAGAGGACCTGCCTTAATCTGACACATGACCTCCCAGACAGGCCGGCAGTAAGTATCACCCGTGTTGGTGAAACACTAGCCACACTTGTCACGCAGCAGAGCAAGGAGAGGAGACTGCGACCCCGTGCCAGTCCCGGCAGTCGGTGCGGTCCCAGGGAAGGGGTGGACGGCAGGCCTCCGCCTGAGGACACACCAGCTGCCGCGACAGCCTGCAGGGCCAGCTCGGCCGCCCACCAACCCCAAGTCTGACACGCCCTCAGTCAGCCCACAGGAGTCTTACCCAACCAGGGACACTAGTTCTATCCCAGGCCCTGGCCAGGGGAGGCAACCAATTGTTGTCTCTCCCACACATGTGTTTCTCTCTCTCTCTCTCTCTCTCTCTCTCTCTCTCTCTCTCTTTCTTCCCCTTTTCTCCCTCCCTCCCTTCCACTCTCTCTAAAAATCAATGGAAAACTACCCTCAGGTAAGGATTAACAACAAAAAAGGGGGGTGGGGAAGCAAACATATGCAAATCAGGTCTCTAAAACCAACCACACTGGCTATGTTGAACATGGAAAATTTTTATGGGCTGAAACCTGCATTTCAATATGGTGCCCAGGATGGCTGGCACCAGCTCCCTGAAAGCCCACCCATGCCCATAACAGAATTCAGAAGACAGGCGACAAGAGAACATCGCTGTCATTCCTCCTGACTTCCCACCCATGTTTGCTCATCTACAAATAACTGAAGGGAAGTTCCATGTAAATAGGGCCTGAAACAAAGCACTTGACTTCAAGTTGCCTTATGCAACATGTGCCTGGGATTCCTCCTCCTGAGCAAAGCAGGCTGGTAGGACACAGCACGGCCTCAGCCCCTGACCCCAAGACTAGGAACGAACCTCACAGCTTTTATCACTGCACCAAAGGTGTGAGTCACTGCAGTCAGATGACAAGAAGACTCTGAAACAAAGCTTGGAAGGAAGATATACAACTGTCTCTATTTTAAGTCACATGAGTATTAGTGTAGAAAATTCTAAAGACGCTACTACCAGAACTAATATGATTTTAGCAAGGTCAAAGGATACTAGATTAATATTTAAAAATACTTTTACGTACTAACCAAAAACTGGAAAATGTAGATTCCATTTATAATAGCTTTAAAACTATAAAACAGCAAAAAAGTTATATTAAAAAAAAAAAAAGTGAGACCTTTACCTAAGTAACACTGATGACAGAAACTAAGAAAAGTCTCAGTAACAGGGGAGATATACCATGTCCATGGACTCGAAGAGTCAATATTGTTAAAACAAAAATTCTCCCAAAGTTGACCTATAGATTTAAAGCAATCTCAATCATAATACCAACTAGATTTTTGTTGGGGATGGTGGTTTCTGAAATTGACTAGCCGATGCTAACATTTATAGGGAAATGCCGAGGACCTGGAGCATTCAAAGCAATCTGAAGACAGAAGGACTTCCATATCTGAGTCCAAGACTTGCTCTGAGGTACAGCTGTCCAGGCTGCCCAGGACCTGCTAAAGTACAACAAGCAGCAGGAGGCCATTTGGTGTCACAAAGACACCAAAGCAATTGAATATCCACATGGGGGGGAGGAGGGGGTATCTCTACCACGGACAAACATTCAAGATGGATCAGAAACCTAAATATAAAAGCCAAAATGATGAAGTTTTTAGAAGAATAGGAAGTCACAGTCAGAGAGAAAATTATTTGCGAAACACACAGCTGACCAAGGACTGGTGTGCAGGACACTGGGATCCTTAGAGCTCAAAGATCAAAAGGCAAAGAGCCCCAGGAAACACTCGAGGGAAGAGGATGCACAAACGGGCAGCTAAGACATGAAGAGGCTGGTTCATGGCAATGAACATGAATCCCACTATGAGCTACCACTTTGTGCTGAGCGGACGGCCACCACCACATGCCGGCAAAGCCATGCCACAGCCAGCGCTCCCAACGTCGTTGGTAGAAGTGTAAATGCACAACCACTTTAGAGAAACATCTGGTAGTTGCTTGTAAAACTAAACATACAACTACCCTATGACCCAGCGTTCCATTCCCAAGTATTTACCCAAGAGAAATGAAAACATATGTCCACAAAAAGACTTGTAAAGAATGTTCATAGCAGCCTTAGTCATAGCAGCTAAGAGAGAAAAAAGACCAGGTGTCCATCAACAGGAAAGTGGGCACTGAATACTATGTCCATATAAAGAAACGCTTCTCAGCAACAGGCCGGCATGGACCACAGCCACATGCAGCAAGATGAATTTTAAAAACACAGAAAGAGCACATCCTACATGACCCCACTCACAGGAAGTCGGGAGCAGTGGACCTAAACTGCGACCCAGAAAGAGCCGCAGTGGTCACCCCTGGGCAGTCATGGGATTTCTTGGTGGGGAGGTTCTGAAGTGGAAGAGATTATGGCTGCACAGGTGTGTACAATTGTCATAAATCTCTCAATGGCACACTTAAGATCTGCATTTAATTGCATGAAAATTTTATCTAAAAATAAAAAGAACCATAAACAAATACTGAATTCTAGCCAAATTATTTGGGAGAAAGTGTACTGATGTCTGCACTTACTTAGGAATGCAAAGATAAAACATGGATTGGAAGATGGATAGGCAGACATGAATGAACAGATGAACAGACGTGTGACAAAGTGTTTAAAAAATTACAGCACATACAACTGCGTACAGTACATAATACCTGATCATGATAATAAACAACTATGTTACTGGTTTATGTATTTACTACATTATTTTATTGTTTTGTTTTTAATCCCCACCCAAGGATATTTTTCCATTGATTTTCAGAGAAAGTAGAAGAGAGAGGGAAAGACACAGAGAAATATCGATGTGAGAGAAACACATCGATTGGTTGCCTCCTGCATATGCCCCGACTAGGGCCCGGGCCCGGGAGGAGCCTGCAACCGAGGCACGTGCCCTTGACCAGAATCAAACCCAGGACCCTTTGGTCTGCAGGCCAACACTCTCTCCACTGAGCCAAACCAGCTAGGGCTACTACATTACTTTAGAGTATCCTCTTTCTACTTTAAAAAAGTGTTATTCAGTGGTTAGAGTATCAGCACAGGCACCAAAGGGTCTCGGGTTCAATTTCTGGTCAAGGAAACATATACTGGTTGCAGGTTCGATCCCCGGCCCCAGTCCTAGTGCGTGCAGGAGGCAACCAATCAATGTGTCTCTCTCATATTGATGTTTCTGTCTCTCTCTCCCTCTCTTCCACTCTCTCTAAAACAAGATCAATGGAAAAAATTTTCTTGGGTGACAATTAACAACAAGTTTCCTGTAAAACAGTAGCTGTGTCACACTGCAGCAGCCTCATACATGAGGTGTTTATCTCATCTCTGATTGCGTCATTTCTCCTGTGCTTGATTTAACCATTTTGTACAGTAATCTCCGATACAGGCTTGCAGCCCAGGAGCAAGAGGCTGTACCATACAGCCATTCAGGTGTGTGTAACTGCCCCTGTGATGTTCTCCCTAATGAGGCCTTTCTCTGACCTGCCCCATCAAGTGGCATGTGACTGCATTTTCAATCAAGGTTGGTTGAATCAAAGGATGGATACAGAAAGTCAACAGAATCACACTAAAAACAGTAAGAAAAAAAAATTACAAAACTATCTCCACAAGAAAATATTTAGAAAAACATTAGCAAATACTCAGCATCATGAAAAATAACTACTGTATTTTCCAAAACAAAAGTAGTGGGAAGAGTGGCATTTGACCTGTCACAAGACATTTAGCCAGCAATGCATGAAGGAAATCCACCATTAGAGACAGGTACTTGGAGAGAAAGGCCCTGCTGACCCCAGAAGACCCGGGACCCAGGAGTCCTGGGATCAGGCAGAATGCCCCGCCCAGATGCCCTGTGCGGGTGCGTGCCTGGAGGCCTAAAAGGACACTCACCAAAGGGACATGACTTCCTTTAGACAGTTCTGTGTCCTAAAGGACTCACGACCAGCATGTGTCCTTCTGTAATTACAAATTCATCATAGAACTAAAAGCAATCATTTTTAGATGCAAGAAGCTGGGTGCAGCACCTTCTTGAGACCATTTTCTTAGGGAGAAATAAGCCAAGGCTTTGCAGAAACTCATACAGAGCCACCTCCTCTGGGACCATCTGCCTGTCACATCACAGGCCATCACAAGCATGCTGCCGAGGCCCCAGCCCCCCAACCAGCCACGGTGGGGCCTTGTAAGGGATTCCAAGCCAGCCCTTGAGCATGCACCCCAACCCGTCCTCGAAAGGTGCAGAGGACGAGGAAGCCTGTGCCCTCCTGGCTATGAGTGAGCCATGTCACCGCCAGGAGACAGGGGAGGCACTTACTCTGCAGCCACCGCTCACGCCTCAGCTTCAGTTTCTCCTTCTTGGGCAAAATCGTCTTCGCCTCGGCACCTGAGGACAGAGCACACGTGCAGTGAGTGGAGCGTCCGTTCCCGCAGGACAAAGTCTCAAGTTCCCCACCCACAAAGCTGGGAACAGAACTGGGCAGGTTCTGACGGTACCAGGCAGCACTGCCACCCCATGGCCACCGTGCCCACAGCAGCCGGGCTGCACCCGGGGGCGAGGCCAGCCCCAGCCTCTCACAGCCCCCAGGGAAAGATGGAGCAGCGGCCCTGCAGGGCTGGGGACACGACACTGCACGTCAGCACAATGTCAGGAGGGAGCCCTAAGCACAGGGTCCCTCTGAGGCAACAGCCTGGCACTTACCACGGGGCTGCCCAGGATGCCAGGCAGGCCTTCCCCTACCATCCTCGCCACCCCAAACCCAGGGTGACCTTCAGGAGGGCTGCTGCATAAGCATGCTGACAAGAGAGGGCCACGAAACTCAAGGAGGAGCCACAAGCTGTCGAGAACGGGTGAGCACCTCAGAGCACCAAGGCTCCCCTTCTGCCGAGCCCAGACCTGAGCACACTGGGCTAGGCTCACAGTCCCCGACTGCTTGGACTTCCTCTGCACAGGTGCTGCCGGAAGCCACGAGGACACAGGTGAGCCCAGTCTGAGCAAGTGGTGGTCCCACCTCTTGTCACTGAATCAACCAGGATAATAAAACCCACTCCCTTCAGACGTGCCTGCTCCCAGAGCCCTCTGTCCACCCTCGCCTGCCGCGTGGGGATGTCCCCAGCCTCACCTCCAGCAGGTGTGGGGTACAACACACCTTCTCCTTTGTTCCCAGCTCTGTCATTAAATACCAGCCACCTAGCTGACCCTCCCACTGCCCACCCTTCTCCTCTCAGCTCCTGTCCCATCCCCCAGCGCTGTCTGCTCTGACTTTGTGGTGATTTCAACTGCCCAGGTCTGGGGCTTCCCCTTCCTTCATGACCCTGTCCTCACCACCATGGCCTGTCTGCACATCTCTACTGTTATGGGCTAAACTGTGTTCCCCGAATTCACATGTGGAAGACCTCATCCCAGTACCCCACAACATGGCGGTGTTGGGGGAGAGGGTCTTTAATGAGGTCATTAAGTTGAAATGAGGTCACATGGGTGGGCTCTAATCTGGTAAGACTGGTGTCCCTATCACAAGAGGAGATTATAACACAGACATGCACAGAGCGATGACCATGTGAGGACACAGGGAGGAGGCGGCTATCTACACACCAAGGAGAGAGGCCTCAGGAGGAACCAGCCCTCCTGTTTGAGCCACGTGGGCTATGGTGCTTTGTTATGGCCTCCTGAGCTAACTAAGACACCCATCTTCTCTTGAATAACTCAGAGCATCGTGCTTCCCGCATTCAGGCAGGCCCGAGCTTCACCTCCCCTCCCCTCCCCTCCTCTCCCCTCCCTGTAAGCAGCCACCTGTGACCCTCATCTGCCCGCTCCCCACGAGGAAATGCAGCAATCAGTTGCCAGGCGCCAAGACCCCGTCACACTCACTAGCATATGACATTGCTAACTACCTGGAGGAACCTGATGACCGTTAGGAGCACTGGGCACATTATGCCAGTGACCCCGTGACTAGTCCCATTTTACAGATGAGAAAAGCAAAGCTTAGAGGGGGCCAGGCCACGGGGAACTGCTGTGGCTCAGGCCTGGAATAGAGTGTGAGGTGAGCCCACAGCCATCAGGCCTCCGCAGCACCATGTCCTTGGCTGGGCCCCGCTGAAGCACCCCTGGGACCAGGCCACTGGAGGGGTACTGGGGACATGAGATTCGGGGGTTTATTCCCCCAAATAAACTATGAACCAAGGTGTGTACATAGGTGCAGCTCCTCAGAGCACCCAGATAATGCCCACAGCCCCACTGCAGGACACGGAGTGTCTCGGGTCTGCCTCGCTGGTCCCCAGACTGCCATCTCCCCCCTGGCAGGCAGGGGGTGGGGAGCAAGATACAGAACCCTTTTCCCCAACAGGCACATTCGGGGTGGGAGGCCCACCAACACGCAGCATGGTGCCCGCTGCACCGGGTGTGAGCCACTGCCCCATGCTGGCCAGACCTGAGTCCCAGCTGAACAAAGACGGTCAGTGTGTCTGAAGCCGTGGGGCCTCAAGAAAGCTCGGTAGTGCCAGCTGGCATGTCAGGTGGCACTGGATTCCGTTTGGACAGGCTGGAGCACCCAGACAGAGCCCCCCACCCCCACCCCCACCCCACCCACAGGAATGTGCGCTAGGGGGAGCGGACGGTGCCAGGCTGGCAGGTGCGCCACTCTTGTAGTCTGACGGCTGTCTGCCCGACGTCAGGGCTATGGCACGAGGGCACGCATGTGGGAGGGCGGTAGGTCAGAGACGCTGGACCTACTGACAGCTTCTCTGCTTCCAGCTCTAAAAATGGAGCAAACTCCAGGCTGCTGCACTTCCTTGGCCTTAAGTGGGTCCCCAGAGATAAGGTGGCGTAAGCCCAGGACGTTCTATATGAGATGCACGTCCTGACATCTTTACTTCCCGCAGATGTTCTTGGCTGTTACAACAGATCCCTGACATCTAAGAAAAAACAACGAAGGAACAAGTTCTGTCGAGAGCCAGGTGGAGATCCTGCCCATGAATAAGCCTGGGGCACATGACTTCATGGGAATGACAGCCCTTTTCCAGGAATGAGGCGCTACGTGTCAGGCCCCATGTTACCTTCTGGACACACCCAAGTCGATAGGGGGCCGAGGGAGGGGGACGAGGCATCCGAATGACAAAGTGAGAGTGACTCCACACTCTGGGCAGGTCATCCCAGCCTGAGGGCTCAACCTGAACCTGGGCAGGTACCAGGAATGCCTAACCCAGGGCAGGCCTGGCCAACCTGGAGTGTCCATGTGACCCAGCCAGCGGTTTGTTCTTATCTTAAAGATGAGTAACATTCTCCAGAACCTAAGATAAAAACATTTAAAACAATCAACTAACCAAGCTGAGCACAGGTAGGGAGGGTGGGGCTGGCCACCCTGGGCCTCCTGCTCAGCACAGCAGGCTTCTCCCAGTGCCCGAGCCTGCCCTAAGCCCGCCCTGAGGTGCCTCCACGTCTTTGGGTGCCAGCAGTAACCCTGGGTGTGGACCCAAAAGGCACCCAGCAGCCCACAGAGAAGGCCTGGTGCAAACTCAGGCACAGGTTGCTTTCACAAGAAGAGTAGAAGGTAAGGCGCTGCTGTATATAACAGAACAATGAACTTTAGAGCTTTAATTGTAGAGACACAACTTGGGCAGCTAACTGAGCCTCAGTCTTCTCATCCAGAAAACGGGAGTGCAACTACAGCAGTGTTGATGAGGTCAGTAACCCTCTGCTCTGCTCTCATAAAGAGAACAGAGGAACGGAACGCAAAGTTCAAGCAAGGAGATGCCCGTCTGCCTGCCCCAGTGCCACCCCTGTACCCGGGAGGCCCACCCCTACTCCCAGTTCTTGTCCAGTCACCACAGCTGCCGCCAGTGGGGATAATCAGAGGACAGGATATGGTTTCACAGGTGTTGCATTTCAGGAGGGTATGGTTAAAGGAATATCACATGAGTACATTCTAACGTAACAGTAAGGAAAATCAGTTTGTAATCAGCCTTTCTATCAACAACATCTACAACATTGTGGGAAAGGACCTGGGCACAGGCAATGAGAGAGAACTACAGGTTATAGCTGATATGACCGAAGTCGAAAATACAAGGCATCTGGGATACCGACTGTCTCCTCACCACAATGGTAAACACAACCTAACACGCAGGTTTGGGAGGAAAATAAAGCAGGAATCGTTTACCTCCCTCTGTAAGGTCCCAACAGATTAATACGTAAATAAAAAAATAAAGACACAAAAGTACTACAAAAAACACAGAAAAATTACAAAACACAAAGAAAACACAGATTTGGCTACACACAATTTTTTTTAACATATGTATATTTTTATTGATTTCAGAGAGGAAAGGAGAAGGAGAGAGAGATTGAAACATCAATGATGAGAGAGAATCATTGACTGGCTGCCTCCGACATGCCCCCCGCTGGGGATAGAGCCACAACCTGGGCGTATGACCGGGAATCAAACCATGACCTCCTGGTTCATAGGTCGATGCTCAATCACTGAGCCACACCACCTGGGCAACCACATGCAAACTTAAAACCTCTGCAGAGAAAAAAAAGTATGTGAACAAATTCAAAAAATTATGTGCACTACCAATGAGGTGGGGGACATCTGCAAATAACAAACAGGTTTTCCTATAGCTCTTTCAAACCAGTAAGAAAAAGCCTAGATCGCCGAAACCGATTTGGCTCAGTGGATAGAGCGTCGGCCTGCGGACTGAAAGGTCCCAGGTTCGATTCCGGTCAAGGGCATGTACCTGGGTTGTGGGCACATCCCCAGTAGGGGGTGTGCAGGAGGAAGCTGATTGATGTTTCTCTCTCATCGATGTTTCTAACTCTCTATCTCTCTCCCTTCCTCTCTGTAAAAGATCAATAAAATATATTTTTAAAAAAAAAGAAAGAAAAAGCCTAGACGAAAACTTGAAAAAGGACATAAATGGGCCCTTTACAGAGGAACACAGCTAATGAAAACTCATACTAGCCCCTAGCCAGTTCGGCTCAGTGGATGAAGCGCCGGCCTACGAACTGAAGGGTCCTGGGTTCAATTCTGGTCAAGGACATGTGCAGGCTCGATGCCTGGCCCTGGTCGGGGCGAGTACAGGAGGCCACCAATTGATGTGTCTCTCTCACATCGATGTTTCTCCCTCTCTGTCTCTCCCCGTCCCTTCCACTCTCCCTAAAAATCAACGGAGAAATATCACTGGGTGAGGATTAACAACAAAAAAGCTCATTCTACCAGTAAGAGCACATTTTACAAACCAGACCCCACTGTCCACCCTTCATATGGCAGAGAACCGAGTCTGGAACCGCTGGCACAAACCAGAGGCAGACTTGTGTGCACTGGGCAGAAGCTCCATGGCAGTGCCTTCACTAGGCAAACTGGCACCGTCTACTGGCATGTTCAATGGCCGCACATT